CAACCTCGAGGGAGCAGAGGGTAGAGGTGAGCCAGGAACAGTTCTTGGAAGCATCAAGGCTGTGATTTCATGGCTCTAAGTATAAGAGAGCAAAAAAATAAAAAGAAATAATTGAGAAAAATAAACAAATAAGTTTCCCTGATAATGGAGTCTAGTCCTTCCATACAGTTTAGCAGCTTCCTCTCTCCCCGATTTTTACTGCGGAAGAACAGTAAATTGGCAGTTTATTCTGCAACTTGCTAAACTGAAGATTTGTCAGTGCATTTTGAACATGAATCACATCCACTGTGCTGTCCCTTAACAATCGAGTCCTGTGGAGAGCTACACGAGATGAGACTTCTGTGTTCTTAATGCACTGTGCAGACGTTTTGGGTACCTAGCTATAGTAATAGTTGCCTTAATGGAGTCTTCATGTTGATAGCAGCAGAGAGATGGACACAAAGTATGTTTTTGTGTAACCATATATGTCTTCACTGAAACAAAAACAGTGTTAGTAGGAGCATAAAAGAACCCATCTGCAAATTGTGTGCCCTCAAATCCATGCACGACTGCCTGCTTTATTACTACAGGAAAATTTTTGATGTTACCAGTGTTAGGAGTTATCTGTACTTGCAGAAAAAAACCCTGTCTTTATGAATGAAATTAAAGCCCTTCCCTTGGAAAAGCCTACGTGTAGTCATACTGTCTGTGAAGCTGTCTCTCCATCATCTTTCACTGAAATCTAGCCAGGTCGGGTATGCCTGATAAAGGACGCTCCCTGCTTCTCTGAAATGGAGTCGCATTCACATTCTGCCTAATGCTCGGAGGATCTGTGACGCCCTCTTCCTTCTTTCTGAAGCACCATGTGCCCATACAGGGCAAATCCAGGGGCAAAGCGTGGTTTGGGATGGGGCAAGAAACTCTTTAATTGTCTACTGGGCATCTACACAGAGGCCACACAAATTCTAGCCCTAGCAGGCTGTTTCCTCACCCATCAGAAGCAGGAGATAGAACAGCTCTGCAGATTTATCTTTTATGTCATGTTCTCCACAGTGGCAGTGAAGACTTTGAGGAGCTTCTTGTTTTGTGCTTATACCTCTATAGCTTTGTCCCCAGAGGGAGGGTGACAAGTGAACAAAGTGTTTAAACAGCCTTGGCATTCCTACTCTGCTTCAGATAGCCTGTTTTATCCAGGCAGTTCATTTATCCTCAGATCCTCAAAGGGAATTAAGTGACTAGGTGTCTTTGAGTCTTTGCATCTTGACCATTTTGGATCTGTCTGTCATCTGGAAAAAGAGAAACAATGATGTTCCCCGTCTTCGGGGAAATGCTAAGAATGACGCATCAGAGGTTCCAGGGGCTGAGGATCAATACTGCTGTTCTGCAGGCTGCAGAGATGTGAGATTGCTCTGCAGCTTTGCAGGTCTACCTGTGTTTATGCAGGGATGGCTTGTTTTCTTGCTGATCTGCACATATTTCTGGGAAAATCAGCCAGTTTACTGCTATACCTATCGTATTCCACATCCCCAGGCTTCAGTTTCGATCCCTTGGTGTTGTTTTTAATGTGCTCTGAAAAACTCTGCACCGTTCCTTTGTGCTGCCTGTGAAAATTTGGCATGGCTTTGAATTGCTTATGCCGAGATCTTTCCCTGTTGAACCTAATCGCTTTGGTGAGAGCAGGATGCAAGCGTGGTTTGCTCTAGGATCGCTTCCTGATGGACTGGGCGAAGAAGAATGGTTACGACCCAAGAACAACTTGGAGCAAAGGGCTCCTTCCACGTCAGATCTGAAGGACACTGATGAAGCCTGTCGTATCTGTTCAGGAGGCAGGTGGCTATGCATGATTTCCGCTTGGCACCTCAAGTGAACCTAATGTTTTGAAGAGAGAGTTTCTGTTACATTGCTGGCTATACACGTGAACACAATGCATTATTTGGCAAGCAGAGATTGCTTTCAGCAAGAGACGTCTGAGGACAGTAGTTTGAGCCTAGCCTCTTAGCAGGCACTGTGTGAAATCGGGTGTGCGGGCTGATTTGAGCCAGCAGCCCTGGGGAGATAGGCCAGGGCTTCCAGGGAGCTGTACCTGGCCTTACTAGGTCGTCACCAGAATCAGGGAGCCTTTGAAGTAGCTGTGAACCAGCTGCTCAGAAACAGCCACCTTGTTCCAGCTCTCAGTTGTGGCTGCACAGGGAACACTTTCAACCTCCTTTCACAAGCCCACCCCCTCCCCAAACTGCTGAGTAATGAGAAGTCCGAACAGCGCATAGCAGCTCAAGGCCACTGCTTGAGTGGTCACACACTCGGCTTTCTGTGCCTTCTGTTGCCTTTCTGTGCAACAGCTGAAGCTCTTCCAGGGTATGGAGTGAAACTCCGTGCTCTTAGCCCTCTGCTTCCCTTCTCCTCATGCCTCAGAGACCAGTATGATAAACTATCTTAGCTGTGATGAGAAAGCCAGCATCCATCTTGATTAATGATGCAACACCCCATAATTCGGATTACTCTGCACTTCCCTGAGCTGTGCAATGACGGTATGACTGCAGTTGCCAAATGCAGCCCAGTTCAGCAGAACAAACTTTTCTTGGAAAATAAAGGTGGAATTTCCCCTTTCCTAATAGGACAGCAGAGCCCAAACTTCTTTAATTCCTTGTATGTGCTTTGATACTTCACAACCAGGAGGCCACCTATTGTGGTCAGCTTATCTGGCCTGTAGATCTACGTGAGCTGAGCTGGATAAATACTGGCATCATTCTGCAAGTACTCAATAATTTGGTAAAAGTAATAATTCACAGTTTACTCGCAAGAGAATTTTTCGGAGAGTCCTGCTGTTGCGTACATATGGGCTGAATGCTTCTTTCCCAATTTCAGATCCGATCTCTTTCTGGTCCTTTCATTGCCCCTTACACTTTCAGGATGCGTTTCCTTGCAGATCCACTTGGTCGTGATGGTAAGTTCTTAGTGGTTGAGCTAAGCTATGTTTATCACCTATCTTTGACCACTTTGCTTGCCTCGGCTTGCTCCAAAAGGTAGCCTGGTCCTCAGGGTTGCTCCCTTCCAGCCACTTGTGTTTTTTCTGAAGGAGCAAACCCCACGTGCTGCAGCAGCCATCGGACAACATGGCAGGGAAAAGGCAGGGAAACCTCCTTTGCTGCTGTGATGGATGGTAGCTGGTTCTTCCTCGAAAAACAGGCTGCCTCCTGCCCCGGGGGCAGCTGTTCAGCTTCCTGGGTCCTGCTGCCTGCAGGAGAGGAAGGGCAGCTGCACGTGGCAAGAACAGGCAACCGCTGCCTCCAAGGACCGGGAGCATCTCTGCGCTCAGCGGAGGTTTGGCCCCTCATGGCTGCCACCACAGTCTCCTCCTTTCCGTGCTTGTTTCCCCGCTCTGTCAACGTTGAAACCCACAGCACCTTACCACAGACGTCATTTAAAAAGGGGGGGGGGGGAAAAAGGCCAACCTGACAAACTCATCCTCCTTCCTCTTGCATTTGTGCTGGAGGGAGCGGCTAGTATTTTAAAAAAACCCCAGCTTTTTCCTTCCGCTTCATGTCGTACCTCAGGCTTCTCAGAAATTACGGGGCTGCTTTCTGCCCTTCCCTCGCTGGCGGCGTTTCAAGGTGCCGAGTCTTGGCCAAGGTGGCCTCGGCCAGCTCGGGTGCCCGGCCCGACCCTTTCCCGTCGACGAATTTGCCTCCTCCAGCTGACTAGGGAGGAAAACC